AAGAATCAATCGTCCCACCACCACCACCGTCTGATTTAGAAACGAGCAAGAATTTCTCGCGTACTGCCTTTGGTTTATTCCATGATGGATGATGTCACGTCACGTGATTTCGTTTCACACGACGTGGATCGCAGGAGACCCAGTGCGTTTCACACGTCATCATATACCTCCCCAAGTTCAAAGAATTTTCTCACCATCTTCACTTTATCACGTGTTATTATTAACAATAGCCAAAATAATTACTCCTACAAATCAATGTGGATTTTAATTGGATGAATTAAACGTGGATTGTGTGTCGCTTTAGAATAATTATTCCTACAATCTTTACTTTAAAAATGTCTCATTCATACATTTTTTTATCTTTTCATCCAACTAAGGAATAATGAATTACTATCACATGAATTTGAAATCTAAGGACTTTTTAAAAATAATGTTTTCTTAACATAACTACGAAACATCACAATATAATTAAAAATTCTAAAACGAAATGAATTTCTACTATATTTGGAATTCTTTGAATCGGCAACTTAAATTTGGATTAAAATAATTTAGTACAAATTTTGAATTAAATTTACTCAAAATTCAAATTTAAAGTACTAATTTGATGTTCTCAAGTATAATATTAGCATTTTTAACATTCGTAAGTTGTGTCGGTTATAGAAGCATGTGAATTGTTTGATCATGATTAGTGATAACTTGTGCTACAAATGGGCAATTTTATGCAATTAGTGTAAAAACACTACAGATGTAATTTACTGGTATTTTTTCACATTTTAAAATATAAAATTAAATGTGTTGAATCTTCTCGGCAATAATATAGATATATGAATTTATTGTCAAACATTCAAATGAATGACCCTAAAAACGTGGTTCATAATTGCATTATCCAGCAGCCTAAACCTATATGAGGAATTGTAATGGGTGCTACCTAATAGTCTAAGAAATAGGGTTAGGTTATCTCAATTTTAATCACCCACAATAAATATGAACATGAGACCCAACTAAAATATACAATTTTAAAATGAAGAGCACTCATTACAGTGGGCATGGCCCACTTCACCTGAACTTACTGTGGTTAAAAGTTAGTAAAACCTAAAGATGCCTACTATAAAGGCTTCGTAGCCTAGCCATGCATTCCAATTATTTGGACTGCCGCAGGGCTTTTTGTCTTTGCCATGAAAAAAAAAAAAAAGAAAAAAAAGAAAATGGGGTTGGTGCTCCTGTGGGCTATGGCCTGCTGTATGTCGTTATAACATGTATTTAGGCCCAGCCCAAGTACACACATGTTTAAACAGTTAAATTTAAGATGGTGATCAAATATGTTTAGCATTTTTCTTTATGAGATCTTACTTTGAATGGCTGGCTATGTAAACATCTGCTTATTGCGCTTTTGACAAAAAAGAATAAAACAAATTAGATAAACACTCTCTCTTCTCTTTTTTCTTTTTAAATAAAAGGGTAAAGTGTAAAAAAAAAAAAAAATCAATTCTATAAAAATTGTGTAAAAACAATCATGTTATTTAGCATGCATATGTAAATCACTAACATTTGAAAATTTGTGCAAATTGCCCCTAATATTATCTATTGGCCATCAATTTTGACACATTTTTTTTATAACCCAAAAATACCCTTAAAAACTAAAATCAGTGTTTTTTTTTAATTTTTTATTTTGTTGTATGGGTGTTTTAGGTATTTACTTAAAAGGGTATTTTAGGTATTTCAATAATCAAATTGACAAAAATGTTCTTATTTACTATATTATAAATATGATAATTTTTATGAACACAAAGACTTATTTGCACATTAGGTTTATAATAAGGTGAAGCTTACGGGCAGTGGCCTAGCAGTACCAAGTCACAACTTTCCAAAAAGAGGTCAGAGCTTGGAGCCTCAGTGGAAGGCATATAAAACGCACCCGAAACAAATTTTTTATTGGGCTTTAAAAAGAACACCCCAAGTACAGTTGCAACCAATTGTTGACAATGCAACCCAGCCCAACCCAACCCAACCAGTGGCTCAACCCAAACTTTGAAACTCATAAATTTATTGGGCTACAGCAAGTCAAAATACCCATCACTCTGAGTACATAACATAGATTCCATTTTCTACTCTTTGCAATCATGTGTTTAGCATTTGTTCTTACAAATAGTCAAGAAATAAAAATTGGTTAGAGGGGATTGTCAACGTCCGTGTCAATGGAAAAGGGGTGACATACAATGATGAAATTCAAATAGATGGTGTTAAAAAGTAGGCTCAACTATGGTATTTCCAGAATAGGAATCATGTTTCCACTAAAACTTAGTATGATTTGAAGTATTATTGGTTGCTTTGTGTGTTTGAAGTATTCACAAATTATGTTTTGCTAAATGCTACTCCACCAAAAGTGGTTCCACCATTGCTACCGTCACATATTAGCATCCAACGATTCAGTCCCACCCCCTCACATGGTGGTCCATTTTTGCCACATGCCCCTATCCTCAATATCTTTTTTTGTAACCAATTAAGTCCTATCAACTCAATTCCTTTAAAAATCCCACTCAAATTTTTGTTTAATTACTCTTTCTTTTCGGCTCAAAATATTATAATCTAGTTACCCTCTCCATTGCCTTCTGACATTGTTGACACATATATATATACGCATATATGTATGTGTGTATATACATATCTATGTAGAGAGAGAGAGAGAGAGAGAGAGAGAGAGAGAGAGGTGAGTGTGCCCCTGAGTTAATGAAAAATAAACACTTGTTCAGGGGATGGATGGTAACTATGAAAGGACCACTTTCTTGCTTGTGTTTGACACCGCATACAACCTTAATTTTACACTCAGTGTATCCCAAATATCGAGGCCCTGATGTTTATTTCTAGTTTTCTTAATTTTTATATATATATAATGTCAAAAATTGAGTCGTATTCAATCCACGTGAACCACAATTGAAAATGTCACCCTTATATTTATTGTATTAAACCATTCAAAGAAGCCTCCCTTTTCTGGTCGTCCTAGTCGGCATATATATATGTATGTATATATTTATTGGTTGAAGTGAGAGTAATTTACAATCCACAAACCCCTCTTGTGCATTGCAATATGCCAATATAAATTGTGTCAATCTTATGAAAGAATGGAAGAATATTCGATCTCACATTACCTAAATGTGCCCAAAAAAAAAAAAAAAAAAAAAAAAAAAAAAAAAAAATCATATATAGGTATAGAATTAGTACTCTCCAAAATAAAACGTATCTTGAATTAAGGCCCAAAAAACAAAATCGACCAAGATCTTTTGTCATAAACAATCCGGACCCGATACATATATGCTACCAAAAGCCTCTTAAAAATTGGTAATATAAGGGCATAATATGAAATGGATTGAAATAAAACAATTTTTATATACTTTATGTGACACAACCTATTTATAGTTTAAATTTATGCATCAATAATGAGCCGTATTAAACCAAAATTAATTATACTTCTTCAAGAGAAACGCTGGATTTTTTTATTATTATTTTTTTTCACTAACTAGTGAATATACTATAATTATTTACTTGGATCATGGATTCTGCCAATAAAAAAATATATATTTAAAATAATAATAAATACACAATTTCCATATACCCTAAAGTTGCAAAAACTTTCCTTTTTCAGCATTTGATAATTTGAAAAAAAAAAAAGAAAAAAGAAAAAAGAAAAAAGAAAGGTGGTTTTCTTATAATTTCGAATATGACAATTTAAAGGTATTTAATGTTTTTACCGATAATAATTAATTAAGGAGAGATAGAGAGAGAAATGAATAAGTGATAAATTGGCGATAATTTGAAGTTTCTTCAACTGTGCCGTCGGTAGACAAATCGATGAATTCAAAGTCAAATTTATGCGTTGACACGTTTTAGTCGAAAATGATGAGTTTACTAAAAACTCCCTACCAATAAGACAATTGAAGCACTTATATCTGCTTTTGACATGGCAATATGTAATTGGGTTTCCAAAAAAAATTTGGTGAGAAATATTTAGAATTATATATAATGTACATGAAATGAGATTTGAACAGGATTAAGCATATCGATTAAAAATAACTGTAATTTTTTTTAATTAAAAAATTAACAAAATTTTTAATTTAGTTCAATACTCTAAATATGTGGTCGGTTTTCTCTCTTTTAACTCTTGTCCATATTATAACGGTTTATGTTTAGTGGTGGTAGTTTTTAACTGATAGTTAAGTCCTCTTTGTTAAAAAAGAAAAAATAAAACTTATTTCAAACTTACTTGTAATTTAGCTTAATTAGCGTTATATTAAAGTTTTATAAAAATACATTTGATAATTCTTGAACTCTAAGTTGTATTTTGCTTAAGCAATTAGAGTTTAAATAAGTTTGATCGAATTTTCTTATATTCATGCTTTAGTTTTGTAGTCTATTTATAAGTAATTGTAAAAATATTAATATTTGATGTAAAAAGTGCATGAAGAATAATTTAGTTAAGAATTATTAAATAAATAATTTCTTTGTATGAAATAAGAGTGTGCATATCTAATTCTCTCACGACTCTACTATAACAGGAGACATGTTTTTTAAATATGAAAGGAAAAAAAATATTATAGATAATTGTTCTTTACAAAGGTTAAAATATTTTACAATACATAAATTTGTTCAGATTGAATAATTTTATTAATAATCAAATTAGGAGGAGTTGTCAACATTATCAATGTGATGGGTTTTTTTGTCATGAGCATATCATATTACAATTATCTTGTATTGCTATATATTTTAAGAAGCATATTATTTTTCTTTGTTAATTTTTTATTTTTTATTTAATATTTGGAGAACTTGGTAGAAATTTCATTAAAAACAAAAAATAAACACCCTGTCATTTTTTCCCACGTCAATTCATAGTGTGGCAATAGGAATGAGCCTCTAAATTATTAACTAATGGAATTGACATCATCGTAATAACCGTTGGTTGTTGAACGGATGCATCCAAGCGGGGTAAAACGGTCAAATAAATCCTCTGTACATAGTGGTTACTCTCTCAACTTTCTTTTAGAGAGAGAGAGTCAAAGTTCTCAGGGAAATCATCATCTTCCACCTCTCGACCATCTCTTTTCTTCGAACCCTCTTTTCTAAGGGGACCACTTTTGATCGATTCCGAGTCAGTTATTGCCTTCTTATTCTCTTCTCACTATTTGTTTCTTTCAATTAATTTTTACAGTCTTTGTGGCCTTCAATCTCTATTTTATATGTGTGTGTCTATATATATATATATATATATATATATATATATAAAGTATCAGAACCTAAATTCCCTATATTTGAACGTGTTTATGGTGATTGACTACAATTTTCTGACAACCCAGGTACGAAATTTCATTTCTTCTTATATTTTATGGTCTGATTTGTACATTACTCTACTGATTATCTTCACATATACTCATAATGTTTTGGTATACCTTTGTTAGAGAGTCAGGAACTGTTTTGTTGTCTGTAGTTTGATCATCTATGTGGACTTCATAAGATCCATGTTTATCTGAAATAGTTTTAAATTATGATATAAAAATATATGTTCTAGGTTTGGATTGTGATCTGGGTTGGGTGTTTTTATTTTCTTGTCATGGAAGCAATGTTTTTGGGATTTTACCTTTACCTTTCTAAAATATTGAAACTTCGTTCCTTTTAATTGAGAGATTAGAAATTTGTTTGGTGATTAAAAACTTATTTATTTATATATTTTGTTCTTAATGGAGGCAGGTTTTTATGGGTTGAACTTTAGGAATGATGACTACTTACCGTGAAGCGGAAGAAGGTCAATTCTTCGATGCACGGAGTGAGATCACTTCCGTTTCTGATCTTGGCTCAGATTGCTTTGAGGGTTGTTCTAATTCCGGGCTTATCAATTGTGCTTCAGATGAACTAGGGTATGATTTTTGGACTAAGAACCCAGAAAGTGTTCATGAGCGTCGTGATAGGTTCCTGAAATGGATGGGTTTAAGTTCTGATTGGAACCCAATTGAAAGAGAGGATTCAAGAGATATGCCGTGGGATGAAATCAAAGTGGGGATGGACAGAATTACTGAAAATAGTGGTGCGGTGTTAAGAAATGCAGTTTTGGAAGAACAATTCATTTGTAGTTTGTCTTCTGCATCTTACCAGCCAAAAGAAGCTACAGAATTGGTAGAAGATGATGCTTCTGAACAGAATTTTGTGTCTAGAATTACCAATTTGGATGATGGGATAGAGTTTTCCACGAATGAAGTCAGCCGTGATGGAACTCTTAGCAGATTACAGGAATCAGGCTCAAACCGATCGGTTACTGTTGGAGAATGTCAGAGAACCCTTGGCTCATCTTCTTTTGCACCTCACATTTTGCAGAAAGAAGTTGGGGCTGCTAATGTGGCAGATTCAAAGAAGAAAGTGAAGAGGGGTTGGCTTAGGAAATTAGGTGTTCTAGCACATATTATGGACAGGCAAGGGAAAGCTAGTTTGAAGCCGAGTGGTTACAATAGGGAGGTGGGAGCTAAGATTCAAAGAGTTCGGGTTCATTCACATAGGAAGAGGTCAAAGGAATTGTCCTCTCTTTACGCAGCGCAAGAATTTCGAGCACATGAGGGCTCAATCTTGACAATGAAGTTCAGTCCTGATGGCAAGTACTTGGCAAGTGCGGGTGAAGATGGTGTCGTGCGTATATGGAATGTGATCGAGGATGAGGGACCAAACAAATTTGACATTCAAGATACTGATCCTTCAAGTTCATACTTCTCAGTGAATCATCTGTCCAAACTACCTCCTCTTGATGTGGATAAAGAAAAAATTGGAAAGATGAAAAAGTTGAGAAAATCATCTGAATCAGCTTGTGTTATTTTCCCGCCAAAGGTCTTCCAGTTGTTGGAGAAACCTCTACATGAGTTCCATGGACACAGTGGCAAGGTCTTGGCTCTCTCTTGGTCCAAGAAAGGGGTTAGTATTATTGAAAATTTGCGTTTCTTTTTCTTTTTTTCTTCGGTCATTCTTTATTGATAAACTGCTGTCATATCCCTGAATTTTGAAGGCATTAAATAATTGTATATGTCTAAATTGTTATTGTATTTTACTACTACTACTAGTAAGAATGATGCGAGTTTCCTGGATGTTGCTTTGTTAATATTGTTTTTGATAGCTTTATACCCTCTGCAGTTTCTGCTGTCTTCCTCTGTTGATAAAACGGTTCGCTTGTGGCAAGTAGGACGTGACCAATGCCTCAGAGTTTTTTCTCATAATAACTATGGTGAGTTTCTGGCTGCTTGTGTTGTTCCTTTTGGATGTATTTGATGACTTGTTTGATAATGTTGTTTAGTTTATATATCACAATCAATCTCTTCTGCCAACTCTATAAAGATCTTGATGCATTTCTGTTTACCTTGTAAATTTTTGATGCAGTAACCTGCGTAGAATTCAATCCCTTGGATGATAATTATTTCATCAGCGGTTCAATAGATGGAAAAGTACGCATCTGGGAAGTGCGTCGTTGTCAAGTTGTTGATTGGACTGATATAAGAGAAATAGTGACTGCTGTGTGTTATTTCCCTAATGGGAAGGTTTGGCAGATTTCTTGCTTTTAGCTTCTTGCAGAGAAATTTAGCTCAAATTTTTTATTTGGTTTTTTATTGAGAAGATATTTGCCTGATTGGTACAGGGAGGAATAGTAGGCTCCATGGATGGACTCTGCCGTTTTTATGATATCATAGGTATGCATACATTTGTGCCACAGCCAATTTTTTTCTTCATAATACATTTTATCTTTTACAGAATGTCAACTTTTAAGACTTCAGAAGTTTGGGAATGCAGATACCGCATTTTGCTCATTGTTGCTGTGTCTGGAATAACTTGATATCATGATTTTATTTTTTTCTTCCTTTATCCACTTATTCATAAGTTTCGCACATGTATAAATACAACCTGGATATATGATGCTAATTCTTAATAAGATTGTGGCAAGTGTCATCATGTCAGGGCCAGATAACCTCGCATTTGGACTGGATAAGTAGTAAATGTTGAATCTGATATTGATTCCAATATTATTAAACATATTCCAGTATCTATCTTAATTTATTGACACTTGTCAAAGTAGCTTAGTAGTTTTAGTGTTTCCACTGGAGACTTGGGTCAGTTAGTGTGCAAACTTTAGATTTGATATTACTCCAAATAGGTTTATTATGGTGTTGTATCAGTGGTGGTCTGAGATTTATCCAATAGCCCAAAAATAAAGTAATGGAAACATACCAGACTTTCATTAATGATTTTCACTTTCATTTGCACACCACAGTAAATTGGAAGAGATATATTTCGTTTCAAACAATTTTGGCCGAGAGTTGGGAGATTGGGGGGCCAAATTGTTTCTGATTGAGAAAATTTTCAGTGCTGCAAGGAGAAGATCTCTCTGCTTTCTGTTACTAACCTCTATATGGGGCCTCATATCTTTCTTGCCTATGTGCATATGAACCTTTTGTATTAGTTTTTGGTGATGAAGTCTTTTTACTGTAATTGGAATGATACCAGAAATGTAATTCACTTTAATCTGTTTATTTTTTATTGGTTAACTAAATATAGTTTGAGATGAGGCGGTTAACATTTACTGAAATGTTTTGCATGGGTCAGATAAACGTCTGCAACTGGATGCTCAAATTTATTTACAAGGGAAAAAGAAGTTATCAGGCAAGAGCATAACTGGCTTTCAGGTAATTGTCCGTTGTCCTTTTTTTTTCTTTCATTTTTCTGGGGAAAAGAAGTATTTGACTTCACTTTTCCTACTTTATTTCTTAACTGAATTTTATAGACTTACAGTCATGTTATCTTTCTGCTCTACAGTTTTCCCCAAGTGACCCAAGCAAAGTAATGGTCACTTCTGCTGATTCTCAAGTTCGAATACTTTGTGGGGTCAACGTCATCTTCAAATTCAAGGGTGGGTATTTATTGTTTTGTCTTTGATTCGATATAAATAAAGAATTGATTGTCTGCTTCCCTTCCTTTTGTTGGCTCTCCAATCTATCCTCATGTGACCGTCTAATATGTTAGGAGATGTTTATTTTTAAAATTTATTTTGGGATTCAAGTGCCATTGTGTTAAGTGAGAAACTTATCTCTCCCCCATTTATAGGCATTCGAAATTCTGGAAGCCAAGTACCTGCATCATTTACTTCAGATGGTAAACACATCATCTGTGCAAGTGAGGATTCAAATGTCTATATTTGGAACTATATCAGCCAGGAGAGGACTTCTTCCAGATCAAAGACCATTTCGTCTTATGAGAGTTTCTTGTCAAGCAACATTTCGATTGCTTTACCCTGGGGTGGCATGGAAACCATATCAGAATTACCTACAACCCCAACCTCTGTGGGGGATGATCTGCTAGGAAGTATCTTGAGAAAAGGGAAGTGTGGTGAGGACTCGACCCACAGAATGCCTATATCTTCCCCTGATTGTTTTCACTTGAGCCGGGGGTTTTTCTCGGAGTCTTTACTAAAGGGATCTGCAACTTGGCCAGAGGAAAAACTAACAGAGTCAAGTCCAGTACCAGTTTCACCCATAATGTGTAAATCTGAATACAAACTTTTGAAGAGTGCTTTCCAGAACACATCTGGTTCTCCTCATATGTGGGGTCAAGTGATTGTAGCAGCAAGCTGGGATGGACGGATTAGAACGTATTACAATTATGGGTTACCCATTCGTCATTGAAATCCCAGGGTTCAGGATTTCAGCTGTTTTTTTTATTTTTTTGTTGGGCATTTTGAAGTGAGCAGCAACCCACTATTGTAGTGACTGTTGTTTCATAGATAATCTCAGCGCAATGTAGATGACAGGGAGAAAAGGGGGTTGTATAGTTTTAGGCCCTTTATCGACAAGGTGTACTATAATCAATTAGCTTATATGCCATACTACCAGCTGAAGTGGCATCATATTTTTGGTTCATCTGCAACCGGCCGGACGTCAAAAGAGTGTCTGGAATTCATTTTGTATTGGATATTATTCAGGTTAATTATAATAGTAATTCTTTGATTATTATTTTTTATTTTGGAGTTACTTAATTTGAAAATTATAGAGGTCCATTTACTTTTGGACTGTCCAGAGTGTATTCCAAAATAATTTGTACAATTGAAATGTCTGATAATGCAACACCTTATGTGCCCGGAAATGATGCTAGTCTCAGCTGATGTTATCTGCTGTATTGTATTTTACCACTATCTATTATTATTATGCATGCATAGGTGCCAATAAAACTACCTAAGCCACACATAACGGGAGCGAGAACAAATAGGAGAAGCAGCATCCTTTTAGACAAATTATGTGACTTAGCTTCTAACACTTGATCGACTATTCATGTCAATCCTACCAAGGGATCCACTCATCTTACGAATGTGGTTGGACAGTGGCGAATTTCGCAATTCTTAGCACTGCTACTGCTCTTGTTTTTTTAGTATGCTAACGTCAGTTGTTCAACAAGCACAAAACTGGAGCACATGTAAGGTTTCAGGTGGTGTTGTGTAGAAGGGGGGGTCCAGACGACTCCTCCAAGGTTGAGACAGAGAAGTGAAAGTGATGGCAGGGCTATGAATCATGTAGCGAGTGGTTCTGGTGGGGTTTGATTTGGACCCATCAAGATCCTTATACGTCAGCAAGGGGTCGCATGTCACGTGAAATTGATTTTTGTGTAGCAAATAATTGTCAAGAAAGAAAGCAACATCTCCCATTGCGACCACCGTTGGTCTCTCTCTATCTCTATCACCCAAAACCAACTAGTGTCTCTTCGATCTTATCATAATGTGCAACAAGAATTGTACCTTGAAAGCAAAATAACTGAGATTTTAAAGTAGTTTGTCCACACATATATGTAATTGCTCATGGTAAATCTCAGGAGAGACCTAAGATTGTTGCCGAGACCCAGGCTGCTTTTCGTGAGTGTCGCCAAAGAGCCTCTATTACACAACGCTATAATAACCTCGTCATCCTAAAAAAGGAAAAAAGGGTTCGAACCTGGGTGTGGGTGAAAAAAAAAAAAAAAAAAAAAAAACAACAACAACAACAACGAGGAGCGTCTCCAAAGTCTGGTCCGCCTTTGGTTTGTGGCATAGCTGACTGACGAATGCTGTGAGAGTTTATCAGAACAAGTCCACATAGTTGAGCTTGTTTTCCAATTGTTTTTCCTACTGTAATATTGTGCAGCGACATGGCACCATGCTGTTGTTTATTCATAAAACATTTGCTGTAAGAAATATGTTAGGACACAAATTTTTAATCAAAATCTCCGTCATGATGGGACATTTTTAACACACGTTGACAATACTTTATTTTAAAGTGATTATAGCTCAGCCATCCCTATCGTCTCAAAAATTACATTCAGAATCACGATACATATTCGTATTCCACGGTTTTTGTTTAATCCATCCTATCATACTATAATTCAACAACATTATTCACATATAAGAATGTTTCTTGATTCAGAAGGGCCACAAGTCACCCCATTGGGATCTTCGGGCCTGATGATGCATTGTAGGGTTCTTACTCTTCGTCACAACAATACGGTCAAAGGAGCCTTCTGAGCCTTCACGATTTGTTGCTCGGCACACATCCAACTCTATCCGCTTACCCCTCCGAATAGGAGTGTAAATAATCCTACCCCAACCACTTCCAAGATCTGCACTAGCAGTTTCTTCTTCTTCCTCGTCATCAATCTCAGTGACGGCATCTGTTTCTGCAATATCAGACTGGTAGGGAACTAGAGCCTCTTCATATGAACCATCATCTTCGTCATCTTCTGACTGAAATTGGTCCTCTGTCAAAGATCATTAATGAAAAAAATTCTCAGAAATCCAAAGTTTACAAAATAAAATGATATATGGAGTTTTCATCAATTAGCAAGCTTGCTAGTACATGCATGCTAGCAGTCGCACACAATACTACTTAAGAGGAATTTAAGTATTGACATGCACAAGGTACGTACCGTAGTCAATTTCCAAATCTTCTGGATTTCTTTTAGCATGCTGCTCCTTCAATGTTTCAAACTCCATGCCATCGAGTGGCCAAGGTTCTCTGCTCAGAATAAACAAAATGAAATTATCACATAATATCCAGAACCTTCAACTCAATGACCAAGAAGATTAAGAAAAACTCCTAATTTTCAACACAGATTTTACAAAACAAAACTTAGAATACACATTAAAAAGTAACATAAATACTCTCCAAAATAAAATAAAAAATCCAAGCAAATTGATTAAGAATTAAGATAGTCAAAAATTAGTTTCTTAAGAGTGGCATCACTAGACTCAGATACATCTCATCCAACACATTCCTAGGTTATCTTCACATGGCAAGTAATTAAAACATTCAACAAGACTTTCGAATTCAACGTGATCAACTACCTTATCAGGGCCCCAAAAAACTAGTTAAAACAAAAGTATAAACCTGCTTAAAGAATAATTGAGAATTGTCTTTTTCTTCTGATAATTCAGTACATTTTATATATTACATAAAGTTAAGCATTCATTCATATTCCACTGTATATGCTTGCTAAAGCACGCAAAAGATTGAAGTATGAAATGAGATATAGTATTGGCGATGTATTTGTTCCCTCCTTGCATAAAACTCAAAAGATCTTTTTAAAATATATATATATATACATATTCTGTATTTACAACATGAAAACTGTCAAACGCAGAGCCCAAGTGCCCTCTTCCTCCCAAATGGATGATTGAAGATTTTGTCTTCAAAGGAAGAACAACAATGTGTGTGTGTGTTCGTGCAATTTACCTACTGAGGATAAAAATTAAAAAATAAATGAAAACTGCCCAAATTCAAGAGTAAGCTAGCATGCATAAGCACACTTATTTATGACCTGGGGTTCAGGCCTCTTACTCAATTACTATAATCAATTTAAGGAAAACCCATGGGGTTTTGGGTTTTATTCAATTTCAAATATTTGTTAGAAAAAAAAAATATAAAACCATATAACCTTTCCCTCGGTTGAATGGTTGAGCATTATTTATCATAGAAAGCTCATTTACTTTCCCTCCATTCCAGCAATCTCCTCCTTGGAGTCTCCATTAACATACCTTCACCACACAAAGAAAAATGTTCCATACAACCTTTTCCCTAATGAGTGGTCTGTGTACTGTGCACTTACAACCCCCTTCCCAAAACACCCAACCACTTCATACACACCCCCACCCCCCGGTGGGCCCGTGCCCAGGATCAAGATTCTCAACATTATTTGTCAGCAATAAGTTGCCGAACAATAGCCCCAGTGAGAATATAATAGAAAGCATAATTTTGCACGACTTGTAAGTAGGTTATCGCTAAGTTTAAGGAGGCATGGATAAAACATTTACCCACCAAATTAACTGGCGACAATTCATTTATGCAGGAAAATCATGCAAGTAGGTTTAAATGCATGCTTCTATGATTGTTAAAATCAGAACCTTCTATAGTTTATATTAATGGGTAGTTTTTGTTTAAACAACATAATTACATGTTTGAACAGATTACTTGCCTTGGTCTTTGTCCTCGTCTGAAAGCAACAAAGCAAAATTTCTCATCTTCAAAGCCACGTAGAGGCTCACCCTTGGACCGCTACAAAACAATCATGGGTAAGAAAAGAGGTAAAAACAATGACATTTTCTTGTCCTGAATAGCGAGAAAGGTTTTAAAAAATTACGAACTCCATCCCAACTTAAATGTTCATGTTGAATATTTCTGATTTTTAAGATGACATGCATTTGATGCATACCACCCTTTGAAATTTTAAAAGGGACACTTATTTCGGGACATGCCAAAAACGAAACAGGACGTTTATTCAGAGGGAGGATAAATATAAACGGTAAAATAGAAAAAGAAAATTATCAGCAATAACACTAGGAGTCTAGGAGGCTTAGAAGAAAGGTCTTTGATACCTATAACTAAACATAAAAGGTAGCAACACAATGCAAATAGAAATATTAACAAAAAGTGAAATTAGAAAATAGAAGAGTAATAATTACTATTATAAATGTAGGTTAAGCTCCTAAATAATTGCACAAGCTATCACACTAGTGACGCAGCCGACAGTCATATGGGAACACTATCTTCCAACCAATAGACAAATATAATACCTATGTTACATGGACAATCTGACATGTGCACAAGTGCACAACTATGTTACATGGAATCTTTAAAAGTATACAAAATACCCTTGATGGACACAAGATAGTTGGACATGGATATGGATTGTGTGTCCGACATCTTTAGATAGACATACATCTAAACACGTCCAATAATTCAATTTTATTACATCATTTGCTTCGAAACGGGTAGAAAATGTCTATGTTGAACAATTTTTTCTTTAGAAGGTATCTGTGAACATTATGTTCCGTAAAAACATTATTTTGTTCTTAAAAAGAAAAATCTCAAGTAACATGAATATTCAGCAGTGCTATCGTGTCTTGCTTGAGAGTTGATAAGGCTGATACTTAAATAAATATGCACGCCCAACATATGTCTTTAAGACCATGTAACTAACATAGGCGATCTATATCCATCTCGGAATGACATTACATATAGGACCACTCTGTTGGTGAGTGTGCCAACAAAGAGATGAATGAAATGGCAGTTAAAAGTTCCTTATGACACTATCTGAGTATTTCTTACCACTGTTGGGTATGGTAAAGAATGAAGTGCACACCTGGACAATTCAACTCTCATGCACTAAGATATTGAGACTAAACAGATATGACATGCAGATACATACTATGATAGATGCAAATGAATTAAAATGGAACCTTGTATGCCCGTTGTGATGTTGTCCTCTCCAAGCGCTGAACAAAATGGCAATATTTTCCAGTATTATCCAAAGGGCAAGGTCCATCATGAGGACACTGCAACAGGAATATTGATTCAACAAAAAGGCGGGTAGAATAGCACCAGAATCTAAAAGGATAAAAAGAGCATTATATTTATGAAAGAGAAACTATAAAACTCACAGGAGCTACTATATGAACACCATTTTTGAGATCAATCATGTCCTTGGGAGCAGCATCAGATGCATCTACTAATTTGCGGCGTTTCTCAGATGCACGTTCTAATTTGCGGAGTTTCTAAGAAGTAATGAATATAAAAGCAAATCAGGTGGAGAAAAAACACAATATTATAAAATAAAATTAAGAGAGGGGGGGAGAAACAGAGAATTGCAAAATTATTGATCAAGCGTCCAACTTAAATAATTTACCAGTAAGTTACCTTACCCTTTTTTCCATCCATAAGATATGAGATCGCATTTGAGATATGATCTTAGATCCATGTGGTGTTCCAGGTTCAACCAAAACCTGACAATGTTTGAAACTTTTAGAAAGTAAATAAAAGAAGTGAAAGAAGGCCAAAGAAAAAAAAAAGAAATTCAATTTTAAATCAGCATGTATTGTAATGTACAACCAATTCTCATGTCAAATATAAGCAAAAAATTTCATATCCAATTTTATTTTGAAAAAACTTTCATCATTGATTTTAAAGACCAGATAATGAAGGCAAAACACAATCATATATGAAATCCAAAGGGTTTAAGTAATCTACTATACAGTAGGCTTTTCCTCCCCCCAGCCCTTCTCTAAACTATGTATATGTTGGAGTCGTTTGACCTGGTAATTTGTCCCAATACATGGGACATGGAATCAGTTACCATACTAAACTCGTAAATATAGGTTTCAGCAATTAGTGATTTAAAAATATGTTGTGGTAAAATGTAGCAGCCTCTTAGTTAATACACATGAGCTAGGCTGATTTTTCAAGCCATCTTTAAATTTCTCAAAATATATCATCCATATTGGACAATACATAAGACGCAGAGATAACTGACATATTCTGGATACTTCTTTTTCCAACTTTTATCACACCTTTGAGAAGCTCAAGAAGAGCCTTTATTCAATCTAATTTCACATTATACCATCCAAAGAAACATGAAATTTTCTCAAGGAATCTTTTGTTTTTTCCCAGAACAAATCCTTGTAGAAGAATGGGAGGAATTCAAAAAATCAAGTTTATAAAGCAAAAAATCATGTTAGATATTCAAGAATAGCATCGTTTTTAGCAATCCCTTTCGTTTCACTGCAAAAAATCATCACTTTGTCTAAGCGCAGGAAATGAAATTGCACAATTACAAAATCTAATTAGTAATATAGTTTACCCCAACTTATTTATCAAAAAAATATAGTTTACTCCAACTTATTTATCAAAAAAATATAGTTTACTCCAACTTATGTAGATCCATAAAGCACCTGTGCCATGAACCATGCATAAAAAAAAAAAAAAAAACACAGCTTTACACAGGCACCATTCTTCCCTCGCGTCCCTCCTCCGCGTGCTGCCATCAGCACGATCGGATTACAGCCTCGACAGCCATCACCCATCACCGTTGTCGCCATCCACCTAGTCGAGATCATCGGTTGCACGTCCGCGGTGGTCAACATTGACAACACCAAAAAAAATCAGCGTCAAAATCCCTAATCACCTCCAAGCCCAAACTGACCAGATCATCACTGCCTTCGAGCTTCGAACGAAGATCCAACTCCGTCACCATTAACCACTCCTCGCCCAATCATCATACTCCACCATGGGATCTGCAGAATTGATGAGTAGTCATCGACCAGGGTCAAATCGGAATACCAATCTGCATAATTGCTGAGGACTAGTAGAATCCGACAAGTTTGCGTATCAAATCGGAATACCAAACGCACAACCCAATCACCGGGCCAAACGCACAACCCAATCGTCATTCACTCAACCCGGAATACCAAACGCACAACCCAATCGCCATTCACTCAACCCAATTGTCGTTGCAGAGTTGCTCATCGTTGCAATCGGCCCACATCTCATCCCATCCCCATTGTTTCAGTCCTTTACCGCTGCTCCACCACCGAACATCATCCACCTCCGGACTAGTCGCCGTTCAAATTGGAATACCAAACACACAACCCAATTGCCATTGCAGAGTTGCTCGCCGTTGCAATCAGCCCACATCTCTCGCCGTTGTTTCAGTCCTTCACTGCTGCTTCAACACCGAACATCATCCACCTCCGGACCAGTGGCCGCACTTCGTGGTTCTTTGCTCGCTAATCATCCTAGCATCCTCGCTAATTGTGCCGCCGGCGTATCCCAAGCTCCACCGTGATTGGAGCTTCTCAGTTGGGTTCGTCTGAACTGGAGACCCTCTCTCTCTCTCTCTCTTTTTTGGTTCATTGTTGAGTTGTTAGGAGTGGGTTTGGAGAGAGTGTGTGGGCGAAGATGAGTTCTTTTGTGATACAGAGAGTGTGTGTGGGCACGATGGTGGTGATGGTGATGCAAAATGGTGGTGGGTATTGGGGCAGTGATGGTGATGTTGGTTGGTAGAGAAAGTGAATATAGAAGGCCATTGGTGTACTTTTGAGTTAATAAGTTAAGGATAGTTCTATAATTATGCATTGGTTAATTAGGTTAAAGATATTGGAAGGGCAAAAATGATTTTTTCCCCATTTTTTTGGGCTGACATCAGCACTAACAGTTGGTTGCTTAACGGCAGGGGGTAACTTGCTACCTAAATCAAAAGGTCAGGGGGTGTAGGTGGAATATTGAAACGTAGAGGGGGTGTAACTGGGATATGGTCAAAGGTCAGAGGATGTAGGTGGAATTAACCCTATATATTATAGGTACATATTGATAAGAAAACTAAAGCTATGTATCAAGTTAACAAGTATAAACATTTAGATATCTTTCTATAATTAACATGAATTAATAACATAAAATCAAGTATGCCACATATGAATGAAGATAAACATAAAACTTAGCTATGGGCCTTGAAATTTACCAGAACATCTTGTGTAAGATCCCAAAGCTGTCTCACTACAGTAATTCTGTCCTTCAATGACGGTATTTCTCCAAGCACATAGGACTTCACCCAATATTAACAAACATTAAACATTATTTAGCATCATACAAGCCACATGAAATGCTTATCAAGAGCAGTTGGGAAGATAAAAGTACAAATAAGCACCTATGAAGCAAATATACTTTAATTTATCCAAAAAAAAAAAAAAAAAGGATACTTTAAAGGGACCCTTACATGTAACATGTCCAGATTGGATACCGATACACCACGGATACTGGGGTGTGATACTTCCTAAATGTATTCCTATTTTACAATTTCTTTTATTTTTTATTTCAAGAATGTATCCAATACCTCTCAGAAACTCCTAGACATATTTGGTAGGTTTTGAACATTAGAATGTAACTTTTCTAAGTATAATATTATAATATAATGGTTAAGAAAAATATAATAAGGGTTCCAAATAATCAGACTTTCTTCAAATACTAAGAATATAGATACAATGAAAAACACCATATCTAATTTAGTCCAAAGTTTATTCCATGTGCCATAACTCTTAAATTGCTTTTTTTAAATTTTTTATTTATAAAATATGTTAGTAATAAAAAACATAACATGAAGAACAATTATTATTAAAAATTATACATCATCATCCTTACCCTTTATCCCATATGGATGGGTCGGCCACATGAATTTTCTTTTTCCATTCTTTCATATCATATACTATATCTTCTCCTAGATTTAATTTTTTGGTCATTTTTTATTACTTCATTCCATGTGAGTTTTGTTCGGCCTCTTTGTCACTTACCTTCTAGGCAAGCAATTCTTCCTCTTTTAACCAGTGTGTCATCAGGACTACATTGGATACCACCTAAGTCTACTTTCTCTAATTCTATCATTTATAAGCACTATACCTAGTGTTCCCTCTTCCCTCACAGAGTCATTATTAATGCTCTCTCTCCTAGTAAGTCCTAGCATCCAACGTAACATCCTCATTTTTGCTACGTGAATGTGTTGTTCTTGTGTCTTTTTCAACGACCAACACACTGTTCTATATAATATAACTGGCCTAATAATCGTTTTACACATACATATTATATATATATATATATATATATATATATATATATATATATCTATCAGCATAAAAATAATATTTTTTTGGGTAAATTACCCAAACTTCCCAAGAGATTTGGCTATTCTACCCACAGATGAAACTATTTGGAAAACCACTCTAACACCCCCTGTCAGAGTTAATTCCGTTAATTCATTAAATATCAGCTGTGAAAGTACTGTTTTGTCCTCACTAAAAATCTTCCAATGTGCTTATGTCTTGGATGATGTCATCAATGAAAAGTGAAATTACCTTGCTACCCTTCTAACCCTAAAGAGTAAGTGGGTTTTTGTTTCCCTCTCTCTTATGAAACGATCTGTTTGCTCTTTCTCGTCCCAAATATCTTATTCCTTGTAATTTGTAGTGTTAGGAAGAACACAACCTGAGCAAAGAAGGTCTAGAATATCAATGAAGTCTTTCAACGTGGGGTCTTTAATTTTGGTACATAAAAACCCAAATTAAAGCCAAATGAAGAGAAGGTTTAAGATGTACAAAATGATCGATTAGAATAGAAAAAAAAAAAAAAAAATTCTACTGTAATCACCAAACGATTAATTAGGGTAGACAATCAGGTACACACGTAAGCTTCCAGAGAAGCCCTGATTTGGATTGGAGAGGCTGACCAATTTAGACCTCAACATTTCGAAACCCTACACCGCCATTGATTGAGAGATTAGAGAGTGTACTGAAGAATCTGCAGGATTAGACAGAGAGAGAGACTCCAGCACTTCAACTCAATGAAGGTTTTGAATATCAATGAAACCTTTTGAACGCAGAACAGAAGTAACAACCACATGAGCAGGGACTAGCAAATTACTTCTGAATCCAATACTTAGCAGTCAAACCTCCTCAGCCATGTTTTCTCCTTCCTTTTAAATTTCCAATTGAAATCAAATTGTTCACTGAAATGGAAGCTTCGGCCTCGCCCTGTTTCTGCACCTCCCATGACCTAAAACTCTAATCAGACGACTACCCACCATCCCAAAAACAAGCCCAAACCATTACCCCCTTAATGAGATTTCTAGCTAACATGTAGAATCAAGTATTGATATAAATTTTTGATGATTTTGTAGATGACCCACATTATACTTTGAATTGATGCCAATTCTTGGGTGATATAAAACATTCGGACGCCTAATTGGCAGACCATGTCAATTGATATACAAGGCCAAACTACATACACCTCTAGCTTATACAAATATAAGTAAGGGTACCTTTGTCTATATAAATGGTTTAAATAGTCATTTAATATATAAATAGGATTATTAAAGTCTTTTTACTTCACTTAAGAATAATTTAGACGTTTAAAAAATATCTGACTGACGAACTTAACAACAACTAATGTTGGGGGAGGTCGGAGTAATTGTGCCAAACCTCAAGGGAGGTCGACCACATTTTTTCAAATAGTTTCAGTTGTGGGTAATAAATCCAAACCTCGGAGAGGTCTGGATAATTTACCCTTTTTTTATAAGTAAAGATCTGCATAAAAATAATATATACATATATAATTGGCGTGTCCTTGCCATACCCTTATCCTGGTTTCAAGAAGTTGTGTTCGTGTCATGTTTTATTTATACCCTGTATCCGTATCCCTATCCATGCTTCACAGGTAAAAAACATGTAACCATCTGGAGTTATGCTAAAAACAGAAAAACTTGCAGGCAAAAGAGAGCGTAAAGAGTAAGAAGAATAGAACTTACAGCAATGACAAGATCATGCTCTCTTTCAGATTTATTGATATTCTTAGTTAGTGCTTGAATGCTACCATAGCTCTGTATAAGTGGCAAATTCTTTAGACCTAAAAATACATCAGATTCATGTTAGACTTTTACTTGAACATTAGACCTCTCTCCCCCATTAATTATGGAAAAGCAAAGAGAACAAAGCATGAACATTTCATACACAATGTGAAGGATCAAGCGGCACGTTTACATGATATGTTCAGTATCTGCCTACTAATTCTACTAGGTCCAGAAACATGCTTTAGTTATTTATTATTTACATATATTGTTTTAATATTCGTAATAAAAAAAAATGATAATTATTTTTCTTCTGTTACATTACCGATTTAAAACATAGACCAATATTGAAATGTTTGACCTAAAGTAAGAAAATTAATGACGAGATCAGTCAGGTTAGTGTCGCATGGGGACCTTTAAATGAAAGAATTTTGTATTGTGACTCTTGTTCGTACCTACTAGTACCATTATCCCAACTAAATCCCCGTGTATATTCTTTTCAATATAATGAAGGATGTATTCTTTCTTTTCTTTTTTTCAATATAATTTTTTTTCTTTCACATACTTATTGATTATAGACAAGAAATTGGGTAGTGAGTTAAAAATACACTGATTTGAAACTGCAATACTAACTGACCAAAAAGAAGTAACTATATTAAGTTGAAATTCTTCCAAGTAAACAACAACGGCCATATAGAGCAACACTCTAGGCTGTGTTGAATATCATGGCAGCCCATCATTAAACTAAATATATGGTGTCCTCGATAAAGTAGAATGTTGAGATGAATTTGTGTTGCCAACCTAAACCACATGGAATTAATACCCATTCAATTGAGCTGAGTAGCACGTCGTCAACATCCACTTATAAATTCATTGTAGCAATCTAAATTGCATGGGAATTAAGTGGTTAAGTTCAACATCTAACCAGCGTAACGACTTTAGATACTTACATACAAAGAATTTTTCATATTTTTCACATTTATGTATATTGTACTTCACAAAATGATTCACAAGCACAAGAAGGGCAAAAACCATCAAATTGATCACAAAATGATTCACAAGCACAAGAAGGGCAAAAACCATCAAATTGATCTAACAGTGATTTATTTATAACAAGAACACAATCAAGGGGCATTTCTTGGTGCAATGGTAAGAACCCGAAATGGCAAGCAACTGCGAGTTCACACATTCTACTCTGAGAGCAGCTACTTTGTACAAAATATTGGAAATGGTTAGGTTTATAGGAAGTCCCCTCCTAGTGGAACTTGTGGCCAAGGCCAACAGCAGTAATGGCCTTTAACAAGGACACAATTGGTAAATATAATTTATCAATGCCACTGCTAGAATGAGCAAAAAGGTTACCTAGTTGATCAATGACAACTTAGTTTCCAAGACTAACAACTGAATCTTGAAATACCAACCTCTCTATGTCTCAAACGTGTTGGCTATGAATAAAAATAAAAATAAAAAATCACCTTTTATAAGTCTCTGCCCTGCACGTTGCATTGACTGGGATGGCTCTACCAACCTTATTCTCTCCATCGCATGGGGCCAGACTTCTCGCAGTGCCCTATATGTTCCATTCAAATGCAAATATAATTGACCACAATCAACAAATTACTCAAAATAATAATCTAATAAGCATCTCAACATTCAATTAACCAATTGAATTAGATTCTCACCACATTGCGGAACCAGTGCCAGCACCAAAATCCAACACCCTAGTTGGAGCAAAACCAGGTAGCCTTCTACGAACCTAAAAGGAAAACTTCAAAAACTGAAAACACAGCCATCACATTTCAAACCCTAATCAAAGCAATACATATGTGTGTGTATTTATATGTGTATGTATAGTGTAACCTCGCTGAGAACTCTATAACAAGCAGAGTATACGGCAGGCATTCGAGAAGCAATGTAAGCGGTTGTCTGCTCGTCTCTGTACTTGAGACCTGTGTCGCCATAAGAGGTGGTGATCTTCCAGCGCTTCGAACACTCCATTGACTTTAGAGGATCTTCAAAGAGCTCCTTGGAAGTAGAGGAGGTGAGCTGGAGATTTATATCCTTGATTTGGTTAAACGATTGAGACAGACTCAACACCTTCCTCTTCATGTGCGGTTCCTCTTGCTCTGTACTTCACAATTTAAACCACAATGAAATATATATACATATATATATATATAAAGAGAGAGAAGACACATATATACACACATATGTAGATGTAGTGAGAGAGAGAAGGGGACCGACCGACCTCGAAGGTATTTCTTGATGGCTCTACGTAGACGGAGGGGGATGAGGTGGCATCGTTCCGATTGCCATGCTGCGTAACGGAGGGTTTCGGCGGTGAACTTTGGGACTGTTTCGGATACTACGGACGCCATTTTTGGTTGGATTGATTGGAGACCGACCAACTGGTGTTGGTGGTGGTATGGTCGCCACTGACCAAAGAGTGGACGCTATGTTATTGAATATGAATCGTCTGACTCAGATAAGCTTGTTTGCTTTCGGCTCTCTTTGTAATGTTGTAATCTTGCGAATATCCCCTCTGAAGATTCTTTTGTCACCGGTGTTACCCTATGTTCCGAGCCGCTATCCTATATTGGTTGATCTTTCTTTTCTATGAAAACATAATGAAAAGAATAATAGGTCTGAGCGACAGAAGTCGGTTAAGGTGCAGCCCTAAACACGCTGCCGGAAAAGATCCCTCTTCTCAAAAGGCCAAGGACGAGTAGCTTTTTGTGGCTGGGCGCAAATATGCAGTTCCCTGGTGGAGGATTTTAGGTCAATTTTGGGAATTTCGCAACAGTGCATTTGGAAGGGTTTTGGGAGAGTTGGTGGTTATTAATGGTGGATATTTTTAAATCTTTAACAGAAAATGGAAATAAAAAATTATTTTTTTAAAAAACATATATATTTGGTGAGTAAATTCAGCAAGTAAAACACTAATCTTTTGTTTATATCGATATTAAAAGTTAAATTTTATAATTACAACGTCAACAATACTTAAATCTTTCTTAGTAACATTTCATCATTAATTACCATATTATGGTAATCAAATCATCATTTTTAATTTGGTAAGTAAGTATTTATCTACCATATTGTATTTATCTAACATATTGAATTTGTTAATTACCAAATTATGGTAATCAAATCATCATTTTTAATTTGGTAAGTAAGTATTTATCTACCATATTGTATTTATCTACCATATTGAATTTGTTAATTATTGATTTATTATTGATTCACATCAACAGTGAGATAGTGTAAACATTGTTCAAATACAAATTTGCACATTTTCTGATTTTTTTTAAGGGTAATTTCACTCTCTTTCTCCCCAAAATAAAATTACAAAAGAGTCATTATATTACACCATCTTTAATTTTTATATTTTCAATATCATAATAGCCCTCATTAATTCTTCCAATTCTTCCTAATCTTATTATTATCTCAACTTTTATTCCCTTTCTCAATCTCTTTTACAATTGCAACCATTTTTTTTTTTTTCTTTAATGTGGAAATTTTTATAAATATGAACAATATGATAGATTATCGTCAAAAGAAACAAGAACTTAAGGAAGAGTACATCTAGGCATGCCCCAAACTACAACAAGAACACAGAATAGATAAAAGAAAAATCTAAGATCAAAATAAGGTGACTAAGTTAGATAAGGACAGTCCTAGAGCACATAATGTTGTATATTAATGTATTTCAAAATACGTATATATTTTCTAATGTTCCTACATCCACGTCAACCTATTATTATGTCACTACATATATTAACTTACCCTAATATCTGCAACGTCACATTAACGTGTCATTGTAATATCCCGCCATTGTTGATGTTGTGCTATTATATCGTGTAACGTGTAGATAATCATTGTACTTTCTGGTTATTATATCTAGAGAGTTATATAGTTCACTATTTTCTTCTCTGATTTTATTTCTGGCTTCATATTATTTGGCTATCATTGTTTTGCTAAATGCACGTTCGCTGTGTTGTTCATGTTCTGCAATCCCACTGACCAAAGGACCATATTAAAGCTATTCAACTTCCACTACATTACGAGTGTACGTTTGCGGTGGATCTTTTGTTGTTGTATCCTGCAAAGTGGAATGTCGTAACCTGTTACACCAAAATATCATCTCAGAGGGGTGGATTTACTCTTAAGGGCAGTGTATTCACATGCCTCAGTTAAGTCCTTCGTATATTTTTATTTCATACTCTCTGTTATTTCCCATAACATAGCAGTACTCTATATTTCTCTTGATTTTTCATCCCTTTATATCCTACAATTTAAAGAGTAAATATTAAAAATGAGTATTGTGTTAACCACCACCAAACTTATCCTAGACACTACTAAGATCGACTCTTTCAATGGGTATTTCTATAAACGTTGGGCAGAAAGAGTTTATTCTGCTTTGGACATAATTAATGTTGCTGAATTTTTAACCAAACCCAAACTTGTTGTGGGTACTGATTAAAAAAAAAAAAAAAATGTAGATGAATGGGAAAAGGGAAATAAAATTTGCAGGCATACTTTATTAAGTACCATGTCTAATGAACTTTTTGATAGTTATTATTCTTATAAAACAGCATGTGAAATTTGGGTAAACCTAAATAAAAAATATGTTGTTGAAGATGCTGGAACCCAAAAATATGCAATAGTCAATTTCTTAAGTTTTGTAATGACCGATGATAAAGATGTTTTATCTTAATTCCATGACTACCACAAACTAGTCAGTGACCTAAAAAATGAAAATATTGACGTACCTGAGTTATTTATTTCTGGATGCCTAATTAAAAAATTGCCCGGGTCTTGGAAGGACTATAAGAATAGTATGAAACATAAAAGAAAACAGTTAAGCCAAGAAGATGTGATTGTGCACATCCAAATAGAAGAAAACAACCGTTTAAGAGACAAAGCAAACAAAGCTAAGGAAATTGTTTCCAAGGCCAACTTGGTTGAGACCATAATTAAATCCATCAACCACCAAAATAGTCAAAATAAATCGTACTAGGAATAACTCCAAAAATAAGTATAAGTCTAATAACCCAACTCACAAGTCTAGTAACCCAACTTTCAAGAGGATAGGGAGCTGTTATGTTTGTGGGAAACCTGGACACCATGCTGGCCAATGCAGGCATAGGAAGAGAAATGATCAACTTGCCAAAGTCAATCTGGCTGAGGCGGAAGTTATTGTTGCGGTTATCTCTGAGGTAAACAGAGTTGCTAATGCGAAGGATTGGGTGGTAGACTCTGGGGCTACCAAGCACATATGTGGAAATAGAAGTGCTTTTACCTCCTACACTCCAGTAGGGAAAGAAGAAGAACATGTGTTTATGGGTGATTCCAAGCCTTCTCCTGTCATAAAGAAAGGGAAAGTTCTTCTTAAGTTAACTTTAGAAAAGATCCTATCACTTAATGATGTGTTTCATGTTTCAGATATCCATTGGAACCTTGTGTCTGTTTCTCTGTTGGGTAAGGTTGGGGTAAAGGTTGTATTTGAATCTGACAAAATTGTTCCAACTAAAAATGGAGTATTTGGTGGGAAAGGGTATTGTAATCAGGGGCTATTTATTTTGAATGTTCTTGAGATCATGAATGAAAATGCTTCTAATTCTGCTTACTTAATTGATTCTCTTGACATGTGGCATAGTAGATTAGGTCATGTGAATTTTTCATATATTAAGAAAATGAAAGATATTGGTTTAATTTCTAGTAGTTCTTTCACACGCTCTAGTAAATGTGATGTCTATGTTGAAACCAAGTTAACCAAAAAAACCTGTAAGTTTGTAGAAAGAGAATCTGATTTATTAAGCCTCATTCATAGTGACATAGGCGACTTAAAACAACAATGACTAGAGGCGGTAAAAAGAATTGTTTAACCTTTATAGACGATTTTTTCGAGATTCACAACTGTTTATTTGCTTAGACATAAAGATGAAGTAAAAGAGATGTTTTTAAAATATAAAGTAGAGGTTGAAAACCAGTTAAATAGAAAAATTAAGAAACTTAGAACTAATAGAGGGGGTGAATATGATTCAAATCATTTTAGTGAATATTGTGAACGACACAGCATAATTCATGAGGTAACTCCGCCTTATTCACTAGAGTCTAATAGAATAGCAGAGAGAAAAAATAGAATATTAAAAGAAATGATGAATGCTATGTTAGTTAGTTATGGGGCACCCTTTAACTTATGGGGGAAATCCATTCTCTCAGCTTGTCATATACAAAATAGGATACCGTATAAAAAAACTGGTAAAACACCATACAAGTTATGGAAAGGTTTTGCACCTAACTTGTCATACCTAAAAGTGTGGGGTGTCTTGCTAAGGTTTTACTACCAGAACTTAAAAAAAAAAAATTAGGACCTAAGACATTTGATAGTGTGTTTATTGGTTATGCTCAAAATAGTGCAGCCTATAGATTTTTGGTAACTAAATGTGATAGTAACCTAATGGAGGTTAATACAATAGTTGAAACCAAAAATGCTGATTTCTTTTAAAATGTTTTTCCAATGAAACATAACATGGAAAAACATGACAACGTGCCTCATGACGTAACTGGAAAAGAAATCATTAAGCACTCTGACAGAGAACCCAGAAGAAGTAAAAGAGGAAGGAAAAAAAAAAAAAATTTTGGAGATGATTTCTATACATTCCTAGTTGATAATGACCCTCAAACTTATAATGAGGCAGTAAATTCACCTGATGCACCTTTCTGGAAAGAAGCAATTCATATTGAATTGGAGTCAATAATTTCTAACCATACATGGGAATTAGTTGACTTACCACCTAGTGCTAAACCATTGGTTGTAAATGAATTTTTAAAAGGAAGTTAAAATCTGATGGGTCGTTAGATAAATATAAGGCACGATTGGTTGCTAAATGTTATAAAGAAAGAAAAGATATAGATTTTTTTGACACTTTTGCTCCTGCAACTAGAATTTCTTCTATTAGAGTTTTGATTGCTCTAACTGCCATTAATAACCTTATTATTCACCAAATGGATGTTAAAACTGCATTTTTAAATGGTGAGTTAGAAGAAGAAATTTATATGGATCAACCTAAAGGTTATATAGTTTTAAGTAATGAGCATAAAGTATGTAAATTAGTTAAGTCACTATATGGTCTAAAACAAGCTCCCAAACAATGGCATGAAAAATTTGATAGCATGTTATTATCAAATGATTTTTTGATTAATGAGGCAGATAAATGTATATATTATAAATATGTGAATAACACGTGTGATTATATGTTTATATGTGGATGACACGCTTATTATGGGAACTAATATTAAGATAGTCAATGAGACTAAAATGTTTTTGGCCTCTCACTTTGAGATGAAAGATATGGAAGAAGCAGATGTAATTTTAGGAATAAAAATAACTAGAACATGTGATGGTATCATGCTCTCTCAAGAGCACTTTGTTGAAAAGATATTATAAAAATTTGGTCACTTTGATTGTAAACCTGTTTCCACACCTTATGATGCTAATTCCCAATTAAGGAAAAATAAAGGACAAGGTGTATCACAAACCGAGTATGCTCAAATTATTGGTAGCTTGATGTATTTAATGAATTGTTCTAGACCTGATATTTCATATGTAGTTTGTAGATTGAGTAGGTACACTCAAAATCCTAACAAGGATCACTGGACAGCTCTAATTCGAGTACTAAGATTTTTGAGAGGTACTCATGACTATGGGTTAATGTATAGTGGATTTCCCGCGGTACTAGAGGGGTATAATGATGCTAACTGGATCTCTAATTCAGATGAGATGAAATCTACAAGTGGATATGTATTTATTCTTGGTGGGGGTGCAGTGTCTTGGAAATCTTCCAAACAGACATGCATAGCTCGGTCTACTATGGAATCTGAGTTTATAGCCTTGGAAAAGGCTAAATCTGAGGCTGAGTGGCTTATAAATCTCTTAGCAGATATCCCTGTATGGATGAGAATGGCTTCATCTGTGTCTATGCATTGTGCTTGCCAGGCTGCAATAGCTAGAGTAAAGAATAAAATATATAATGGGAAAAACAGGCATATACGCCTAAGACATAAAATTGTGAGGCAGCTACTTGAGACTGGGGTGATATCCCTGGATTTTGTAAGGTCAGAGATGAATTTGGCAGATCCTCTGACAAAACCACTAGGCAGAAAACTAGTGAGTGATACATCGAGGGGGATGGGACTTATGCCTGAGACAAAGATTAACAGTGATGGTAACCCAAGCTATGCGAATGGAGATCCCAAGAAGTAGGTTCATATGGGTAAAAACAAGTTACTGGTTGATCAGGCAGAGTGCACTATCAACTTTATTTTTGAGAATCCCTCCCTATGGTATAGATAGTGCAAAAATGTAACGTAAGAAGTTGAATTAAAAATTCTTAATGAATTCCATATCCCTTATGGGTGGTATGTGTAGTTACAGTACACACTTGATAGATTCACGTATATGAGTGTGGAGGTGGGGCCACCTTCTATGAGAGCTTAGGCAGGCTCTCTAGAGCACTTATGAAATCCAGGTAGGGCGCAAGCCCTATTCGCACCAACCCGTTATGAATAGCTTCAGTATAAAGATAACAATGTGGGGGGTTAGTTGTTTGGTATACAATAATAAATCTTGGTTCATAGAAACATAGTTCACCAATTTTTCTGTAAATCATGGCTTACTTCCTTAGGGCTGGCTCATAGTCCAAAAGACACCAGTTCCGACGTATTGGGTTCTCATGGTCCTTTGGTTACTCCTCTAGTTTCTCTTTTGGTTATTTTTGTATTTTGAAATATGTGGGGGATTGTTGTATACTAATGTATTTCAAAATACGTATATATTTTCTAACGTTCCTATATCCATGTCAGCCTATTATTATGTCACTACATATATTAACTTACCCTAATATCTGCAACGTCACATTAACGTGTCATCGTAATATCCTGCCATTGCTGATATTGTGCTATTATATCGTGTAACGTGTAGATAACCATTGTACTATCTGGTTATAAATAGGTCGAGAAGTCTCAAGGTTTTAACACTCAAAACCATCTTGGCCTTGTACAATATATATATTCAGAGAGTTATATAGTTCACTATTTTCTTCTCTGATTTTATTTCTGGCTTCATATTATTTGCCTATCATTGTTTTGCCTTATCAGTGTACGTTTGCGGTGGATCTTTTGCTGTTGTATACTGGAGAGTGGAACGCCGTAACCTACTACACCGAGATATCATCTCAGAGGGGTGGATTTACTCTTTAAGGGCAGTGTATTCACACAACTCAGCTAAGTCCTTCGTATATTTTTATTTCATACTCTCTGTTATTTCCCATAACATAGCAGTACTCTATATCTCTCTTGATTTTTCATCCCTACAGAAAAACCTTCATGGCAAGAGTCCATAGCAATCTGAAGTGGAGACGATGCATTTCCATCATGGCATCTATTGTTTCTTTGGGCCCATATTCTCCAAAGAATGGCAGTGAACCTGCATCTTATAAGCTTGGATTTCATAGGTGTGATCAATGAACCAAGACAAGGCATCAGAGAACTGAGGGATCTCCAGCAGATTAAGCCAGAAACAGAAATCAGAAAACCAGTACCACACTTGCTTAGCAAATGGACAAGTCCAAAACATGTGATCTCTTGTATCAGTGGCACCAAAGCAATTATGACATGGAAGGACCACTGAAACCTCTCTTTCTGAGATTCTAATATGAAGGGAATGAATTCTGCATGACGAGAACTGATTGAACTAAAATTATTGGTCTATTTTAATTCCAAACAAGAGAGAAGCATCAGATAGGATCACCCTCGGTTCTACAAACATTCCAAAAATTTTTGAAGGAAGGAATACCATGCTTCCACTTCCTTTTTACCTTTGTTAGAATTTCAATTTATCAACGTTTTCTCTCAAATATTAAAATTTAACATCAAAACTTAAAATTTAGGTGTTTGTTGTAGAGTTTCATCTGTTTATATGACAATTTACAATTAAAAAGGAATTTCAGAGAGGCAAGTTTTTCTCTTTGTTTTCATCTCAAATACTTTCTATTCTAATCACAAACATTTTATTATCCTAATCGATTACTTTCTCAAGTGATGATATCGAATCCTAAATTTTTCCACTTATATTTGAAGGAAAAAAAAAATTCTCCTCTTTTATCTAAACATGAATTGTATCTATTATTCTCAACCCTCAATGGAAAAAATCTAGTGCTAAAATAATATTTATAGATTGGTTCGGCAAAAATAAACAAATTAATATTTTTAAAACCAACTCAAAAAATATATTCGGAAGAATAAAGTAGAAACAAAAAAAATTAAATCACCATTAGATTTGGGTATATAGATAAAGGGAGAGGGAGGGAACGTGAAAGAGACGTTGAAGGAATTTTTATTTTAGCACCAAGAATCTTCACATTAACAAAGGACAATTTTAGTATCAAAAATTGTAAAAATAAACATTGTGTAGTGTAGGAACTCTTTTTTAATTTTATTTGAAGAGAGAAAGAAGGTAGGGCGTCTTAAGCTAATAGGAGCGTGGCTCCCTTTTTAATGTTATGTTTTAAATAAACTGTCAAATAATCGGTCTATTTTCTTAAAAGTATAATAGTTATTTAATTATTTATAAAATAATAATATTTTACTTTATTGACTTTAATTTTTTTTTTTTTTTTGGGTAAATCTTGGAAAAGTAAGGAATCTAATACAAGCCAAGATTTTCTAAGTTAAATTTGATTTAAATTAATTATAATTTAGACTCATAATGTAACATCCATTATAGTAAATAAAATTAAAATAAAATAAAATTTTAGACATGCCGATGTATTAAAAATGAAAAATAAAAAAATTTATTAAGAAGGTGATTTTCTATTCAAACAAAAACTCTGATGAGTTTCTAAGGACCAGGCTGAGATAGAGAGTCAACTTTCAAAAGAAGACATAGCCCAATATCTTAGAAGCCCATATTGATACCTGAACAATTGGACATCACCACCTATGTATACCGGGCTCCATTGGATCCAAGTTATTTATACTAGGGGCCTAATGATCAAATTCATGAGATTAATGTATTGGAAATTGATGCCGGAGCTAGAGTATCCAAAGCGGAGTCCAACATGGCTTCCCCTTGAATGGACTTTGGTGATATCAATTGGGCCTTACTGGGGGGAGAGCTGTGTTGGGCTCCCCCTCAGATACTCTAGCTTCGTCTAAAGTATAAGAGTACAACGTCTAAATAACACGAACTCCTTTATGATTTAAAAAATACGCTATCATGCTTATGTTAGTATTGACTTTAACCCGAAAGTGTAAGATGACAATTATATTCATTGTCCCTTTATTAGTATTATTTACCATACTAATATATGAAAAAAAATGCATTTTCAAGCTTTCTGGGAATAAAATTGACAGAATTTTTTGATAAGGGATATCACTATAACTCAAACCAAAAAATAAGTTGATTATTTTCAATTGAATACCATTTAATATGTTGAATAAGTTTTCATTCCATAAGATAGGCTGAGATATTCTCGAATATTTGGAAAAATGCATCATACCGACACTGATTTTTGATGTAGATAAGCTATTTGCATGGTGACATGGAGGATTATTGTGGGTATGAGAAAGGATAGCCAGAGCAATCCACTTGAGAGGAACCAAACCCACCTCAAAACTATTATTATCCAATGCGGTAGACAGACATTGGTGGAACAACTATAAAGAGATAGAGATGATGGTGCATGGGGCAAACAATTTGAAGGCCCTGCACTTTGGGTTGTACTCATTGTTATTTCCCCATCAAGGGTTTGAGTGGTTGTCGTATTGTTGGTCCTATGGATGGTATTGTGGTCTGCCATGTCTCTGCCTACTAAAAGCAAATCTCTCAAAACAGGGCCCTTTCTTTCTAGCCAGTACTGTAATTTTTAATTTCCCTCTTTTACTATCAATCAGTCACAAGGAAATGTTCACCAAGCCTGTTAACATAGGTAGGGCATTCTGAGAGGATGATGATGTCATCAACTAGATTTGGACAAAGAATTGAACTCACTTGAAATCATGTAACAACATAATTTAACTTTTTCATCTTCATACATGATAGATCAATATATCACACACATCATGGACATGTATTTACCAAAGAAACTTCCATCAAATGTATACACGGACGATATTGTCTTATATATTGTGTAGAATAGAACTCAAACAAAGATCATATCCTTTAGACTAATTTTAGTGTAGACGACCATTTTTTGTGGTGAATGAAAGGAAATTGGTCTTGATTTTCGTTTGCTTCATCGGCGTGCTTGGCCTCACTTGGCGCACGTTGGTAGGCCCCATACCATAACAATATCCAACGATTCATCAACCACATGGTAGTGAGCCACCCCATGTTCTTAATTCCCACTGTGTTTTTTTTTCCTTCTCAAGAGAAAAATACAATATTAATTCACAAACATATACTTATATATTAGCAAGCAAACAATTATCATTATTAATTTTTAAATGGGGTATCTAACCAATTAAGTTCACCGGCATTCAAATAGCACAACACAACTACTGTATAATCTATATGGCAATTCCAATAAAACCAATTGGCTCTGCACATACCAACCTATTCAAAAAAATATACAGGGAAGTGGGCGATCAAAGGTCCGAAGTAAAGAAAGTCAAATATAATATTATACATAAATAGACTAGCATTGTTTATGTACTACACTGTACTAACAAGTTGTATACACCACCATATATCTATTCATCTCTCCTTCTCTCTCTTCCCGCTACCTGTCTCTCTCCTCCATCCTCTTTCTCCACCAAGACAAACTTTATGAACTAAAAACTACATATCTCACCTTTTTTTTTATATATATAAATATAAATATTCCTTTATATATCTTCTTCTTCTTCTTGCTACTTTAATTTAATTTAACTTGTATCTGCTAGTTTTAATCTAAGCCGTTGAATGGATCAAAAACTGCCTTTGAATCTCTGGAAACCATTATCTCAGAGAAAGACCATAACTGTGCAGCTTCGCTTGTGCTGGACCCCATTTTCGATGTCGAAGCTTCATTGCAGTCTGCAAAGTACTTCCCGGACACGTTTGCCAGTCTTGGATGAGTAGCCACGTAGCAAGTCGTTGCCGATGCCTGAATAACAAATCTCATTCATAATATATATACATATATAAACAAATAGCATATATATACACTTGTATATGCAGATACATATATATATATATATATATATATATATATATATAATATATAGATCGATTAAACAATGAGTTGGGTTACCTGAGGAATCGTTTTCAAAAGCTTCGAAGTCAAGAAGAATACCAGGTCTGCAAATTTTAACACTTGAATTAAGTTTAGAACGTAGAAGGAGATCAAGATTCAACAAGAGTTACACACAGTGTATGTGATATGTATGGGGGTGGAGACTGTGGAGTATCGTCGTGACCTGTCATGAGACCTTCCCGGTCTCTGGTAAGTTTAGTTCTCACGACCCCTGGATGAACGCAATTCACAGTTACGTTCGCCTCCATTTGCTGCGATTAAACAACAAACAAGACGTTTGGTTCGAAAGAAAGTAAAAGAAAATTTCCGAGAACACAACAAATTTCGCCTTTCATTCATTTTTTAAAATAATTTACCTTCAGTCTCCGAGCAAGCTCCTTGGTATGCAAAACGTTGGCCAGCTTCGACAGAGCATAAGCACGTGTCGCATCGTATTGACTGTCGAGGACCAAGACAAAATAGCATAAACAAGGTCAAACACTCTTTCATTTATTGCGAAACAGTGACTCAGTGAGTCCTGCGCTTGACAGTTCTCCAATTTTCAATTTCAAAGCTTACCTTTTGCTTCTGGTTATCTGACCGAGATACAGAATTAGATCGCCGGAAAACCAGCCGTGAATGCCCGAAGACACATTCACTATACGTCCTTGAACTCCGGTCATCTTTGCTGTCTCGATCATCTTCTTCATCAACAACTTCGTCAAGAGAAAGTGACCTAAATTTTCAAACGCAAAAACCTTAGCCCTAATTCACCTTACTATACATCCATATTTCTATCTATTTATGAATATTGCTGTCATATTACAAAATTACCCAAATAGTTAGTTGCAAAAGTCATCTCTATTCCATCTTCGGAGATGGCGTGCTCGTACGAGAACTTTCCGGCGTTGTTTCTGTCATAAATATGTATGTCAGTGTATTTATGTGCGTCTGTAAATGTGAAAGGATAGGATTTTGGAGTTACATGAGGAGATTAAGAGGCAAATTGAGAAACTCGAACTCATCAACGAAGCTTCGAACGGAGGTGAGAGAGCTAAGGTCAAGAGGCATGACGACAATCTCTGAATCAGGAAACTCCGATACGATACGAGCTTTAGCGTCCTCGGCGGCCTTGAGGTTCCGAGCCGGGAGGACGAGCCTGGCGCCGCGCTTAGCCAACACACGAGCCGTCTCAGCTCCGATCCCTGACGTGGCGCCTGATGAACCACACGATCGAAGAAACAACGTGAGAAGCAAATCACTGTGTCAGTAGACTCAGTACATAACAAACTTGTGGCCCTACTTCAACGGTGGTGGTGGTGGAAGAGGTGATTCGTGAATGTGCAATTACCTGTGATGATGGCGGTGATGTCGCGCAGATCAGGGCAGTTCTGGGTGACATCGTCGGCCGTGGACCTGGAGCCATAGCCACTCGGGCCGATTGCCCCGATCAGGTATTTTACAGTTTCAAGCATTTTTCTATTGCTGATTTGCCGCTGCTTTCGTGTTCTTTGTGTCTCAGAACTTTTACTTGACTGCGTGGACTGTTGATAGGGAGCAAAGTACGTATATCCCAAACCACTTTTCAGTAACACAGACTAGCAGAATTAGAGATAGGTGTGGCCTTTGTCAGGTTTGCAGATGTTTAGGCCGCACTGCATTTAGTTTTAGAGAGAGAGAGAGTGTGTGTCTGTCTGTGGTGTTTTAGAGAGAGAGAGAGAGGGGGGGGGGGGGGGGAGAGAAATGTTGGGGAAGATGTGATGGGGTGTATTGGTGGTGTGGTTAGGATGTAACGGAAAAGAAAGGAAAGAAAGAGATTTTTATAATGGAGGGGAATCAATTATGTTAAGAGGATAGGATTACATCTTTGTCATTGATTGATTGGATAAAAAATATTGAATGATTGCGTTTATTATTGTTTATTTATACGGTTTAATTAACATTAAATTTTTAAACAGAAATCTACCGATTCTAATTGAGGATTAATTACCTTTGTTAGCACTGAGCAATGACGTAAGATTTGCACATGCGAGGGAAGATAGCAAAGATCGGGAATTAATCGGCCTTACTTTTTATCCTTGGAACGGATTCTTGATGTGCCTAAATACGAAGAAAGAATTCTTTTACCACCTTTATTGTGTTCCATCAATTAATTATATTATATTATATAAATAAAAATATTTTATTTTAATAAATTCTAACTAGCATTTAATAAGGTAGTGATAGTCTTATGGATGTCATCATTATAATTCGTGCAATTAATTTATTTTTAAAATACTCTTTTTCTTTTTTATTAGAATAATAATTAAAATTCAGTTAAAATAGTGATTACACTTCAATACAAAAAAAAATTTAGGTAACCATTTTTGTATCTTATATTAATAATACAGCAGAATTGTGAGATAGATCACAATTGATAAGATTGACTAAAAAAATATAAAATTACTAATTAAAATGTAACAAAAAAAAATTAACACCTATTAGTGATTAAATAAGAAAAGTATAAATAATAGATAAACTCAATTGTAATGGATTATAATAGAAAAATGAAATATATATTATATATATACACAAACATGACTAACTTTACCGAGGGACAATGATAAAATAGTAATTTAACCGGAGAAAAGAAAAAATAAAATAAAAATTGCTCTGTGCTGGTTTACTCGGCGAAGTGTGGTTTGTTGGGAGAAAGTCGGCAATTAATTAAAGTAAAAAAGGCACAGGTGTTGAGGCGGAGAGTTCCATCGTCAAAGGGAATCGCACGTGAGGGTTCCAAACTTGCAGAGAATTGGTCAAAATCCTGCGGCCTCGAATCCGTCACAAAAAAAAGTTACTGGTCAATCATTCCCCGTTAAACCCCCCTCACTCTCTTTTCATTGTATGGGTTAGGTCCCTCTAATGTCCACCAATTTAATACGTAGTTAGTAGTAGTTAATTTTTTCTTTTTAAGTCAAATTATTTCTCCAATAAAATCTTTTCCTTCATTGACTCTAAGTTCTTTATTAAAAAATTAATTTAAAAATATAATTTGATAATTTCTTTTAAAAATAATGCATTAATTGTATGTTCATTTAAAAACTTCTACTATTAAATAGTTTTTGTAGCTAAGCCTGTACATGATTTGGTTTGGACTGGTCCGATATTTTTTTGGAATCGAACTATTTTTAATGGTTTTAGATTTCCTACATTGACTCTAAGTTCTTTATTAAAAACTTAATTTAAAAATATAATTTGATAATTTCTTTAAAAAATAATGCATTAATTGTATGTTCGTTTAAAAACTTCTACTATTAAATAGTTTTTGTAGTTAAGCGTGTACACGATTCGGTTTGGACTGGTCTGATATTTTTTTGGAATCAAACTATTTTTAATGGTTTTAGAAAATCTAAAACCAAATCGAACCATTTGACCAATTAAATAGAACCAAACCAAATCGTAAAATACCGGTTCGGTTTCACGGTTCCTCTTTTTTTATTTTTTACTATTATAAAAATTATTCTTATTTTAAAATCTAAATACGCAACAATAAACAAAATTAACCAATACATTCAGAATATGTTAATACATGGACTTCTAGAACATAAGACAATACATTCAAAATTACTAATATATTTTTTATTTTCTGTGACTTCTGAAACTGAAGGAAATTAGTGAATACTTTAAGAACTGCTAATAGTCTAACATATATAGAACTACCAATTCAACAACAAACACTACAATTCATAAAACCAACAACATTAAGTCACTATAGAATTATATATATATTTATAACTTAATGGTTCGATTTGGTCGTAAAGAACCTCAAACCATGACCAAACCATTTTTTTAAGGTTTCACAAATTTGGAATCATGATCGAACCAAACTGTCCGGTCCGATTTGAATTTTCTTTACTGGATTTTTGTGCACCCCTACTTTTTTAGTTGTTTATCTCAATCATTAATTGTCACATAAGTCAATTTCTTATACCAATCCATTATATCTCTCTTATAAAATGGAAATGAAAAGAAAAGAATGATAATGGAAAGAAATAAAAAAAGTGTGTTTGGTAAGAAATGTTAGATGGAAAGGAAGGGAAAAAGAAGGATTTGGAGGAATGAATAAAACTTGAATAGTAACTTTTGTTATTCTCCTAAAAAAAATGGGAGGAAACGGAAAAAAGGGAATGAAAAGCTAATATTTTTAATTAAACTTTGTTAATACCAAATTTGTCCTTATTTTTATAAAAGAAAGGCTATGACAAAGGGTATGGTTGTAAATTTATTACAATAATTTCTTTCACTTTCTTTCCCAAATATGATTACTATCATATTTTTTTTTTACTTTATTAATCAACCAAACACGACTAGCAATTAACAGTATCCTCTTATTTCCTTTCTTTTCGATCTTTTTTCCTCTTAACTAATGTTATCATTTTTTTTTTTTCTTTTCCATTGTACCAAACATATCTTTATATGTTTATCTCAATCATTAATTAGTCCCATTCGTGAATTTTTTATACCAATTATTAATGCTTAATTTGGTTCGAGGGATGGAAAATTTGATGAGAGTGAGAGGAAAAGGGATGGATGAAGCATCATAGTGAAGAAAATGTGTTTCTTCACTTTTTGTTTGGTTGGATGAAATCAATAGCATAAATGATGGATGTGGAGACAATTTTTTTTTTTTTATAATGGAAAGAATAGAAAGAATATTTTTTTATATTCTTTTTACAAATATTCACTCATTATATAAAATTATAAAAAATAGATATTCATTTAAATTTTTTTTTTTTTTTTGGGAAAAGGTTAAAATAAAATAAAGTATTTGTGGTAATTATCCCTTCTTTCTCTCTTCTTCCCCCAATTTTGGCCAAATAGACAAATACAAAGTAAATAGGGATGTTTCATCCCTCCTTACTTTCTCCCTATTTTCTCATCCCTCTAACCAAATACGAAAAATTATTTGTTTCCCCTCTCATCCATCTCTCCTCGATCCTTCTTTCAACCAAACATAACATAATTGTTAAATAAGTCAAATTTTTACACCAATTATTATTATTATTTGGGATTATTACATATAAATAGTGCTAATGACCCATATTTACCATTTGATGGAGTAAAAGTTTCATAATTTTGAAAAAATGAAGACATGAAACAATACTATTTACCTTCATTGAGTTACCACTTTTTGTGCATGATGCACAAAAAGTAGTTCCTATGTGAACAAAAAGTGGTACTAATTATGTGAATAAAAGTAGTACCTCTACACCCAAAACAAAAATGGTACCTCTACACCCAAAACAAAAATGGTACCTCCGTATATAAAAAGTGGTACCTATGTGCCTAAAAGTGTTACCTCAGTGAGGATAAACAATATTTTTCAATGTCCACGTCAGCATTTTAGTCAACTTTATTTTTTTTAAACTATGAGACTTTGACTCCATTAAATAATAAATATGGATTATTAATACCATTTATATGTAATAATCCCTTATTATTTTTTAGGTGTTATCTCAGTAACATAAATTCATTGTTTATATTCATCATTATCTCAATAATTGTAGTCAGTTTTTTTATACCAGTCATTAATTGCCACTTATGTCAATTTTTATACCAATTTTCAATAGTTACCTTTTTAAAAATAATTTTTATTTTTTAATTTTTTGTCAAAAAAATCCTTCCAACTAATTGGGTTACTTTTACTAAAATACCTCCACCAAATCAATAAGGTTTATGCAATTTGATCAGTAATATATAATATTAGGAGGTTACGTATTATATATAGAATAATATTTAGGTCCTCACTAGTGAGGATGTACATCGTTAATGTAGATAATAATAAATGAACATGACTTCTTTCATTACCAAACTAGAGATGGTATATGTATCCATCATATTTTATTTGGTAAGTGAGTATGTACCCCACCATCTTTGATTTGGTAATTAAAGAAGACATATTCATTTATTATTAGTCCACATCAAAGATGAAGACGGTGTATATCTTTACTGGTGAGAACCTAAGTATTGTCCATATATTATACTCCTTTCATCCCACAAAAAGTGTTTACATTTTCATTTTTAGTCCTCCCAAAATAATTACCCCGGCCAATTGAGCAATCAATGTACTATTTTTATTATTATTTCTGTAGCATTACCAATTTAATTAACCTTTTTGCATTGAATTTATAAAAAGTAAATGATATCATATCACTCTGGACCCACTGTGGGGATTGGTAATTCATTCACTACCAATATAACACAAATATTTTGTTTGGTAGGAAGGAAGGAATGAAAAAGGGTAAGGGAAAATAGAAATGAAAGAATAAATTTCTTTCGTTCGAAAGGGAGACAATGAGAGAAAATATAATAGGAGGAATGCGTCATCCTTTATTCTTTTCAAATTTTTATTCCTTTAAATATGAGCGGAAAAAAGGAGCGAAGACAAGTACAGCTATTATGAACACTTTAAATTACAATAATATCCTCTATAAATTACAATCTTATAAAGGGTAAAATACAGAAAACCCCCTCGACTTGTAACATTTCCAGTAAACCACCACGTCTAATTTTTACTAAAGAACTTCCCTCGACATGTAGCCTTTTCCAATAAATATCTCTTGCCTAATTTTTAACCAAAGAACCTCCATTAACTATCTAAAGGGGTAAAAGAGTTGATATTTGGACCAAAATGCTCTTTTATTTAAATCTTAATTTTTTCGAACTTCAAAAATTCATATCTTACAAACCGTACATCCAAATATT